AGGGATGTGGAGACCATCGTTAGATCTTCCCATTATGAAGCTGTCAGCAATAGCCCTGGAATGAGACAGTGGACGGCTGACCCTGTTGGATGCAATGAAAGGAAGGGACCAACTGGAGGTGTATTGCAAGGTGCATCGATAACATGTTAGGACCAGCTGACTGTGGATAGAAGGAGAGGAAACAGCCCAGGACAGTCTGGCACAGAGCACTGGGTACCAGTCACCAAGTAGAGGCTACACAGAACCTCTCATACCAACAACTTTAAAAAATGGCCAGGCGTATAGAAAAGTACCCTTGCAGCAACCCGTGTGTATGTGTTATTTTCTGAAGAATAGCAAGCTAACACAGTGTTCAGAGATGTAAAGTAACTTAACCAAGCCCACACAGCTCATCCCTGGCAGGACTAGGATTCAAATCTGTGTCAGCTCGCCTTGAAGCCTGTGCTGTGAGGAGGTGCCCTGCCTGACAGAAGCACTGGCTGGTGAGGAGCCTCCTGCAAGGCTGACAGGGGCACTGGAGGAGAGGAGAGAGCACCCTGGCTTTGCAGCGTAACTGAGGGGGGGAACCTTTGCATTTTTATTTTGCTTTATTGACATCTAGTTGGTCTACAATATCCTGTTAGATTCATAAAGATGTCAGCAACTTCAGCATCTTTATAGGCAGGGCAGTTTCTGTTCAGTTGCTAAGTTGTATCTGACTCTTTTCAGCCCCATGAACTGCAGCATACCAGGCTTCCCTGTCCTTAACTATTTCCCCGGGTCTGCTCAAACTCATGTCCATTGAGTCAGTGATGCCATCCAGTCAGGCAGGGCAGTAGGGACCAATGAAAAAAAAGAAAACTAGAGGCCAATATCACTGATGAATATAGATGCAAAAATCCTTAACAAAATTCTAGCAAACAGGATCCAACAACATATTAAAAAGGTCATACATCATGACCAAGTGGGCTTTATCCAAGGGATGCAAGGATTCTTCAATATTTGCAAATCAATCAGTGTGATACACCACATTAACAAATTGAAAGATAAAAACCATATGATTATCTCAGTAGACCCAGAGAAAGCCTTTGACAACATTCAATATCCATTTATGATAAAAACCCTCCAGAAAGCAGGCATAGAAAGAACATACCTCAACATAATAAAAGCCATATATGATAAACCCACAGCAAACATTATCCTCAATGGTGAAAAATTGAAAGCATTTCCCCTAAAGTCAGGAACAAGACAAGGGTGCCCCCTCTCACCACTACTATTCAACATAGTTTTGGAAGTTTTAGCCACAGCAATCAGAGAAGAAAAAGAAATAAAAGGAATCCAGATTGGAAAAGAAGTAAAACTTTCAGTGTTTGCAGATGACATGATCCTCTACATAGAAAACCCTAAAGGCACCACCAGAAAATTACTAGAGCTAATCAATGAATATAATAAAGTTGCAGGATATAAAATTAATACACAGAAATCCCTTGTATTCCTATACACTAACAATGAGAAAACAGGAAGAGAAATTAAGGAAACAATTCCATTCACCATGACAATGAAAAGAATAAAATACTTAGGAATAAATCTACCTAAAGAAACAAAAGACCTATATATATAAAACACTGATGAAAGAAATCAAAGATGACACAAATAGATGGAGAAATATACCGTGTTCATGGATCAGAAGAATCAATATAGTGAAAATGAGTATACTATCCAAAGCAATCTACAGATTCAATGCACTCCCTGTCAAGCTACCAGTGGTATTTTTCACAGAACTAGAACAAATAATTTTATGATTTGTATGGAAGTACAAAAAACCTCGAATAGCCAAAGCAATCTTGAGAAAGAAGAATGGAACTGGAGGAATCAAGCTGCCTGACTTCAGGCTCTACTGCAAAGCCACAGTCATCAAGACAGTATGGTACTGGCACAAAGAGAGAAATATAGATCAGTGGAACAAAACAGAAAGCCCAGAGATAAATCCACTCACCTATGGACACCTTATCTTTGACAAAGGAGGCAAGAATATACAATGGAGAAAAGACAACCTCTTTAACAAGTGGTGCTGGGAAAACTGGTCAACCACTTGTAAAAGAATGAAACTAGAACACTTTCTAACACCATACACAAAAATAAACTCAAAAAGGATTAAAGATCTAAACGTAAGACCAGAAACTATAAAACTCCTAGAGGAAAGCACAGGCAAAACACTTTCTGACATAAATCACAGCAGGATCCTCTATGACCCACCTCCCAGAGCAATGGAAATAAAAGCAAAAATAAACAGGACCTAATTAAACTTAAAAGCTTTTGCACAACAAAGGAAACTATAAGCAAGGCAAAAAGACAGCCTTCAGAATGGGAGAAAATAATAGCAAACAAAGCAACTGACAAAGAATTAATCTCAAAAATATACAAGCAGCTCCTGCAGCTCAATTCCAGAAAAATAAATGACCCAATCAAAAAATGGGCCAAAGAACTGAACAGACATTTCTCTAAAGAAGACATACAGATGGCTAACAAACAGCTGAAAAGATGCTCAACATCACTCATTATCAGAGAAATGCAAATCAAAACCACAATGAGGTACCATCTCATGCTGGTCAGAATGGCTGCTATTAAAAAGTCTATATACAATAAATGCTGGAGAGGGTGCAAAGAAAAGGGAACCCTCTTACACTGTTGGTGGGAATGCAAACTAGTACAGCCACCATGGAGAACAGTGTGGAGATTCCTTTAAAAAACTGGAAATAGAACTGCCACATGACCCAGCAATCCCTCTGCTGGGCATACACACCGAGGAAACCAGAATTGAGAGAGACATGTGTACCCCAGTGTTCATCTCAGCACTGTTTACAATAGCTAGGACATGGAAGCAACCTAGATGTCCATCAGCAGACGAATCGATAAGAAAGCTGTGGTACATATATACAGTGGAGTATTACTCAGCTGTTAATGCATTTGAATCAGTTCTAATGAGGTGGTTGAAAGTGGAGCCAATTATACAGAGTGAAGTAAGTCAGAAAGAAAAACACCAATACAGTATATTAATGCATATATATGGAATTTAGAAGGATGGTAATGATGACCCTATATGTGAGGCAGCAAAAGAGACACAGATGTAAAGAACAGTCTTTTGGACTCTGTAGGAGAAGGTGAGGGTGGAATGATTTGAGAGAATAGCACTGAAACGTGTACATTATCATATGTGAAACAGATCGCCAGTCCAGGTTCGATGCATGAGACAGGGTGCTCAGGGCTGCTTCACTGGGATGACCCTGAGGGATGGGATGGGGAGGGGAGGGAGGTGGGAGCAGGGTTCAGGATGGGGAACACATGTACATCCATGGCTGATTCATGTCAATGTCTGGTAAAAAACACCACAATATTGTAAAGTAATTATCCTCCAATTAAAATAAATAAAAAAAGAGAGAGGACGTCTGTCCTCCATGTTGGGATGTGTGTGGACTAAGAAGAGGACTTCATGGGCATGAAGAGAGAGTTGGCCCAAGAAAGAAAGAAGGACCCCTGTCCCTGGGCATGGGAAGAGGGGGCTGAGAGGGGGCTTTGCTGACTCCAAAGGGAAGAGAAGAGGGAAGCAGAGAATGCTTTTCTCACTGCTCTGGAATTCGCCAGCAAATTTGATGGGAAGAATCAGAAAAATAACAGGTAAAGCCCTGGAGCCTTCAGAACCCCAGAGGCTCCCTGCACCAGCCCTGAAAACACTGATCTGAGAGCCTGGAGGAGCCCTTGTGGAGACTGGACGCATGGAGGTGCGTCAGCGGCTGGCCTTGCCACCTGATTGCTCCGCTGCAGCTCCGCAGCCCTTGCGAGGCTGGGGGCCTTCAGTTCCTTCCAGATGCTGCTCTCCAGGTCCTGGACCTTTGCTGGGGCAGAGGTGGAAGGAATACATTTTAATGTCTGTGAAACTGAAACCCCTCTCTGTACCTGGTACAGCATTAACTCCTTCAGCACATCTGAATAGTTACAAGTATAATCTGAGCACAGTTGACTCAGTCACTTGTATTTTTGATTTTAAGCAGAATGAACAATTTGTCCTTATCAAATAAGGCACTTGGTGAGTTAAGGGATCAAAATCTTAAGGGAGCAGTCTTGGAATCCTTTCCTCAGTCCAACTTTTGGAAGCCATCGGCAGATTCTCTTGATGGAGGTTGAAAAGCCTGAATATACAGAGGTTTCCTTTTTTGTGTAAAAGGCATGATGCTTGTATCAGGAAAGAGACCTCGGTCCCAGATCACTGCGCTGCTCACAATGGGAACACATATTCCCTGGGTCTCTTCTTTGCCCTGGGTGCAGTGCCTCGGTTATTGGCATCTGGGCTGATATCCAATTAATTGTGAAGTATCTTGCTGTTTTCCTTTCGAGCCATTTTTCTCTTCACTGAGCCTCAGTCCACTAGTTGATTTGGTTTCTTATGCGATATTGACACATTTGTAGGAGACGCGGATTTAATCCCTGGGTTGGGAAGATCCCCTGGAGGAGGGCATGGCAACCCACTCCATATTCTTGCTTGCAGAATCCCATGGACAGAGGAGCCTGGCGGGCTACAGTCCATAGGGTTGCAAAGAATTGGGCATGACTGAAGTGACCGAGCTCGCATGCACTCACTCTGTTTTAACCACTGATTAAATAAATATTAATAAATGCAATCTTTATAGTTGTTATTAAGTATTGTATTGAATTAAAAAGCAGCAACATGTGGTTTATGTTCCAACTTATAAAAATCCTGTACTTAATTTCAGAAAAGATGAAGTAAATATATTCTTATAGATGTGTACAATTTGTTTGAAATGCCCTCTTAAAATCAGTGCTGGTACATTCACGGGCAAGATTTCCAGGAGCCATCACTTGCATGTCCACTGGTGGGAATGATCCCAGGGCACCATGTCTATCCAGCTGGACCTTGGGGAAGTCAGCTAAGTATGTTCTGGAATGTGATCCTGCTCTTCCACACCCAGCCGTGGAATGACTTGGCTCTCTGATCTTTTGCTCAGGAACCCTGGAGCACGCAGCACATTCCGGCGCTGTTTTCAGCTTTCTGTGGCCTCTTGGTTGCACTTTCCTACCATCTGAGCAGGCAGAGCAGCGACCCCTCTGTGCTCCTGTGAGTAACACACACACACAGCTGTCCACTGGCCCTGCAGCCTCACCCTCTCATCCAGTGCTCAGGGTGCTTGACCTCTTGCCCTGTTAAACCAGCTGGTCCCTGGGTGATGGTGGGAGAAACCTAGGACTAACCAGAAATGAATGAAAACCAGAGGTCAAGTTCAAGGACACACTGAACCTTGGCCCTGGTGCTTTTGGAGTAAACTCACAAAGCCAGGGATAGATGTCCTCTTATACCCAGGCACTGTCTTTGACCTTCCCTTGGGGAGTTGCATGAGAAGCACCGACCTTGACAAGTAGGCCCTCTGGGTCCATGAGGCGGAACCACTGCCTTTATGCCAGGGGGATAAAGTCTACCCTGGGGAGACTAGACTTGCCTCTCTGAAAGGAAAGGTTTTGTTTTGTTGCTTTTTGTTCTTAGTATGGTCAGTGCCCTCTGGATTTAAAGTGAAGTCTGTGCCAAAGTTTTAAAATGTGTTTAATAATAACCCTTAGTCACTAGAAAATATACCTTCAAATCTTTCCTTTCTTTGTATCTTTTAAGTGTTTGATAAATATGCACTTTGGACCTGAAAACCCTTCAGGTGATGCCATAGTTTCAGGTACCAGTCAACCATCAACCATCTCATTTGGCCACATTTATGGGAGATGCAGGAGACCTAGATTTGATCCCTGGGTAGGGAAGATCCCCTGGGAAAGGAAATGGCAAACCCACTCTAATATTCTTGCCTAGAAAATTCCATAGACAGAAGAGCTTGGTGGGCTACAGTTCATGGAGTCACAAAGACTTGGACATGACTGAGTGACTAACACAAGGGAGATCCTGACTTAAGTTATAAAAGTGGATAGAAGTGTTTTGCGGAAGTAAAAAAATGATAATTTTAGGCTGTCAGGTGCAGCAAGATAAAAGACGTGGAAAATGGGAGAATTTAAATATCATTTGCACAGATTTTCTGAACAAATATTTTGCCATATTGAGGGCTGGCCGAAATAAAGAATCTCTGTGAGCTTAGCTAGCTCATGATGGTCAGTGGGACCCATACCTGCTGTGGACAGCTTTAATCTGGATAGAATTTGAAAATCCACCCATTGTCTTTGTGATCACCTGCACACACTACTCTTTTTCTACATTATGAACAATTTAAAGGAGAGAACACTGACTTTTGTCCTTTGTGAGTGTGAGGTCAAAGGTGAAGCTGTTTCCCTCAGACTTTGAAATAGGCACATACTTTTTTTAGACTAGAGCAGTATTTCTTGAATTTTAATATGATGGGAATCACCTGAGGATCCTGTTACACTGCAGATTCTGATTCAGGTCTAGAGTGGGGCCCGAGATTCTGCATTTTTTTTAAGGCACATATTTTGTAAAGTAAAACCTGTGTATTTTTTCCATTTTCAGGTCCTTTATTCAGTGCAAATTGTTTCATAAATTTTTACATCAAAATCTAGAAGACTTAGCTTCAGACCCTCTGCCCATGAAGATGAAAGATTCTGTGGTAAGACATTTGTGCTGTATAATGTATGAGGGAGCATCTTTTGACTTGGTGTGAAGTAGACTGCTGAGCTGCCTGCTCAAAGGGTGTAGACACGTTGAGTCTCTGGAAGGCAGATGCTGTGCACACCTGCCACAGGTGTTCACTTAGTCTAATGCAATTTGCCTGGATATTCAAATGAGCCACCTTCAGACAGTTCCACACACTGCTGGCCCCAAGTAGCAGGTGGGATGGGCATGAATAAAGCTTTAATGTTCAGGCAAACTGCAGTCCTCTCTGCATCTTCTGTCTCTGTCTCCTGCTGAGTTCAAGGCATTCTTTCCTGTGTATTTTGGTTCAAGGTTGACATCTGTGCATCCCTTGGGAGGGACCCTTGTGCTTTAGACTTATGGCTAGGATTTTGCGGGCTTCCCAGGTGGTAAAGAACCCACCTGCCAATGTAGGAGATGTAAGAGACGTGGGTTCTATCCCTGGGTTGGGAAAATCCTGTGGAGGAGGTCTTGGCCACCCATTCCAGTATTCTTGTCTGGAGAATCCCATGGACAGAGGAGCCAGGGCGGGCTATGGTCCATACGATTGCAGAGTCAGACATGACTGAAGTGACTTAGCATGCATGCTAGGATTCTGTGGAAGGGGCCGCCATATTGGTTGGAGCACAAAAGAGGAAAAGGAAGGAGGAAATGAAGGAAGAGAGAAAATAAAGGCTGTAAAAGAATAATATTGCTTCTTTGTTCACCAGGAAAATGGCTTGGGGGCAGTTTCAAACACCCTTTGAGCAGGTGTATCTCTTTGATATCAACTTACAAACCTTAATAGTTTGAAAAGCAAAGCTCATTGATTAGGTAACCTCCCACTTGAGTACTGAGCTTGGAGCAGTCTGCTGTCTCCCAGTCTTGCTTTTCATGTATGTGTTTTTTTATTTGTTTGTTTTTTTTCTTTAGGAATAACAGATCAAATGAGAACCATTTAATGGGATATTGATTGCAAGCTCCTCCAGCCAGGAGATGGATCTCATTTGTCCTGGTCTCTGGGCTCTAGTCCATGGGAGCACAAAGAGCTGGACACAACGTAGTGACTGAGCATGCACACATGCACCACAGCACCAGGGCCTAAGGCCTAGTGGGCACTCAGTGCGTTCCACTGAATTTAGATGAGTTAAATTGCAATTCACCATTACAGCCAACATGATAGCATTTAAAAGAATTCATACTCAGACCTCTGTGCCTTTGAGTGTGGTTAGCGTTCAAGCTAAAGCATTGAGCATTGGTTGCCGCAGGGAATCAAAGCACAAATCACTTACTAGGAATAAGGGTTTGTTAATTATTGAATTTAATTTTTACTTCCAGTTTTATTGAGATATAATTGAAGTTCAGCACCATGTAATTGTGTCATTAATTTTAGGGCTGAGATACAACTAAAAGCGGGGTGTGAGGTGGAGCTTCCGGGACTGATGAGGTGCCAGCTAGCAAAGAAAGAAGACACTTGACATCCAAATGTAGTGTCAGCAACCAGACCTCTATTATTAATACCAGGAAAATTACAGGGACGAGATCAAACTCACACTCCCAGATTAATTTCTATAGTGATAGGGTGGCCTGAAGTCAACCCAACAGTTTCCCATGGATATCTGTGAAATAACCCCCTCCTTGATTTCATGATGATGAAGATGTTTTCTGATTTATTGCAGTAAAAATAATCTGTGAATTACAATGAAATCTGATGAGAAATTTCCCTAGCATACACAGATAGCATTTTATTAGTATGATTAGCTGTGATGGGTTAGGTGTTGCCTTACTTGATTTTGGTATTCTTTGAAATGCTTCATACAATGTAGAGCACATAACTTGTAGGTGATTTAATATGATATGTGTGTTCATTTCTCTGAAAAGATTTCTCATCTAATTATAATATTTTAAAGGGACTCTCAGCTTCACCTTTTATAGTTTTTTTGTGGTGTAATACCATTTATTTCCTAGTGCAAGGAAATTTCCCTCCTTGATTTTGTTTCTTTATGTCTCTGTCTGGCTGTCTTACTCTCTTTCTCTTTCCCTATGCCTGTCGTCTCTCTCTTTCTTCCTTACATTTTAGTTTATATGAAAAGTCCCTGGGGAACATCATACGCTCAGTTCTCCTATTCTGATTCACTTGGCCTGGGGAATCTACATGTTTATGAGACTGTCCACCCAGGTGATTCTGATTAGGTGCCCTATAGGCTGCTGTAAGGGACAGTGATCTAGAAGTGGAGATACCCAGAGCTCTAGCAGTGGGTTTACTCCATATGAGCAACACAAGTTATGCTCGCAAAGTTTATTACCACAGTTCAGTGGTTAATAAAAGTAAACTTTCCACCAGTGGTTTGCCTGGTTGGTCTTTTTCCATATGCCTCGTTAGCATGGTCTTTCCCTTTTTACCCTCATTTTCGTCACTTTCAACATTTTTTCCCATCACATTCAGATTTGTTATTTTTATGATGTCTAGAAACAACAAACAAAGTTACGTAATTTTTATGTGTATTATTCAGACTACTTCTTTTAAATAACTGGTTGTATCATCTAGGTTTTTTGAGTCCCATGCTGTCTAAATCTGCTGGGTTTGTAGTGTTGGACCAGGGTTTCTTAAGTTTCTTTTTAAAGGTTTGGGGCATGAAGTGCTACATAAAATGCGACAGTGAATTTAAAATGTTCAGTGTACTGAGATCTATTATAGTTATTAGCTAAACACATATGGATTTATCATTAAAATAGGGAACAAAACTTTAATTGAGTGTTGTTTTAGAAGTTCTGGCAAGTATAGGTCCTGAAAGAGAAAAAAAATGTAGATTATCAGTATGTTATTGTATTCATGCAAAATGCATAGAAAGTTTACGTCAACTATGATAAGAGAATTCATAAATACCACCAGAGACACAAAAAAATTAGAAAAGCAAAAGCATTCTAATACATTAAAAATAACCATAGAAGACATGACAAAAACATGATTGAACTCACAATAGTAACAAAACATATCAATTGATAACAGAAATGATTTTAACAAGTAGTATCAGAAATAGAGAAAGCTACAGCAGTCTATTAAAATGTAAATGAAGTCTGAAAGTGGTGATAAACAGATATAACCTGATTTTTCATGAGAAGGCTGAAATTTATTAAATGCCAAATCTCTCTAATAAATTTATGTATTTAATATAGTTCAAAACAGTTCCAAAGGAATTATATTCAAAACTTGGGGAAATAATTCTAAAGGTTCATTTAGAAGTATAGAAGGTAAAAATAGTTTAACAAATCTGAAAAAGAAGAATAAGAAAGGAATTTAGCACTTTGAGGTGTAAGAGTACATTATAAAGATTGAGTGATCAGCAAAAATATGAGACTAATCCAAGTTTAAAGGGTGGGATTAGTGAATCAGTTAAACACAGAAAGGTGACAGAATTATTTATATGACTGTGTTATGTGAGAATTAAATCTCGCAACCAAGAATTGATTATTCAATGTATGGTGTTAAGGTGGTTGTTTATCAATGGGAAGGAAAAGAGGATTTTATGTGCTAATCCCTCTTTAGACACCAATGTAAGTTAGAGAGAGGGGAAGAGAGATCAAATGAGACTTTCCCATCTCTGATATTATGGAAGACTAAATTATTACAGTCAGACCCTGTTGATTAATACTGAAAATTCTGAATAAAATATAAAAAACTTTTTTAGGAGGATGGGACTAACATATACACACTACTCTATGTAAAACAGATAATAAATAAGGATCTACCATATAGCACAGGGAATGATACCCAATACTTTGTAATCATCTATAAGGGAAAAGAACCTGAAAATGAAGATTTATATAAAATAAAATCACTTTGTTGTACACCTGAAATTAACATGACATTATAAATTAACTATATTTCAATAAAATAAAAGGAAAAAATCCTTCTCAAGTGTGACTAAAAATTTGACGAAATAATAAGGAATTATTAAGTCAGAATTTGAGTGAACGAGGGAACCTTCCCATCTACCTAATCAGGGGACCTTGAGCCTCAGTTTTCAGCCCTCCAACTGTGGGGACGAGAAGTGAAAGCCTACCAAGGTAGCCACAAGGGGGAGATCGTTTACTTATCATGCTGGGACACTGAGCCCACTCTCAGTGGAAGGATGAACCAGAAGGAATCTGTTCCACCCTCTGCAGTGCCAGGGGAATGCAAGCAAATTCACTTCAGGGTTGAACTTAACAGCAACAAAATAATCATTTCCATGGATTTTCAGTACAAATTCTAACATCTGAATTGTACAGTCCCCCTCAATTTATGAATATACTTTAAAGTTACTGGCAGCTGGAAATGCCTTATGACAAAACAAAGACAAAAATATATGAATCCTCTATAGAGAGTCCTTCCTTCTCAGTCTCCCCAAATTCCCAAAACCATTTTTCTAAGGAATGTGAGCAGCTTTTGATAAAAATTTAAAGCTACACAGAAAAACAAACAGCCAGAAGAAATAGATTTGCAATCACTTCAGATATTGGAATGATCAGATACACATTTTGAAACAACTCTACTTACTATGTTTGATGAAATAAAAGGGTTAATATTTAACAGGCTTCCTTGGTGGCTCAGCTGGTAAAGAATCCGCCTGCAATGTAGGAGATCTGGGTTCGACCCCTGGGTTGTGAAGATCCTCTGGAGAAGGGAAAGGCTACCCACTCCAGTATTCTGGTCTGGAGAATTCCACGGACTGTATAGTCCATGGGGTTACAAAGAGTCGGACACAACTGAGTAACTTTCACTTAATATTTTAAGCCATAGAAAGTATTTAAAATGATCCAGTATGTTTGAAAGAGAACCTAAAAGACCTGAACAAAGTAAAGCAATTAAAGTAGACACACAGACACATGGGAGAGATCAGATACCTCTGAAGGGAGTTAGTATACTGAAAGAGCAAGACAGAGGAAAGTCTCTGGAATGCAACAATGATAGACCAAAAATTAGGATATATATACAACAGATGCAGAGATGTG